GGTTTCCTCATGCTCGGATCAACATACACGTGAATTAAGATTAAATAAATTCTAAATAAGTCTCTTTTTTAAAAGGAATTGTTAGGAGCACTTTCCATATTATCTTTAGCGTACTTTGAAAAATTAAATAAATTCTCAACTTAAGAATTAAATCTTGAAAGAAAATTTGTTATATATATCCTCTTCTTTTATGTAACTTCTCTTTTGATAATGTTTTAACATGGATGAAGTTATGCTTCACTAAAAATAAGGGTTTAATATATAAACGATAGTGTAAACGAGCAAAATATAGAATTTAGGCCTTAAAAGTACTTACAATGTTCCAGCGATTCGGTTTGTAATTCCTTGACTTTGATCCCCTCCAAAAATCTTTGCCATACCAAAATCTGCAATCCTGGGATTCATTTCCCCATCCAACAAAACATTGCTTGCTTTAAGATCACGGTGGATGATTCGGAGGCGGGAATCTTCGTGAAGATAAAGGAGACCTCGAGCAATCCCCCCTATGATGATTGTGTACCGAATTGACCAATCCAACAGTCCTTGTTTTGCAGGATCTTCATGTATTATTCAAAAAAAAAAAAATCAGAATGGAGCTAAGAAAAATAAATAATCAGGATGCATCACTTGCAAAATATTGGTTAAGAAAAGTCAAACCAAACAGGAAGTGGTCGAGGCTCTTGTTGGGAACAAACTCATAGATTAGTATCTTCTCTGCCCCTTGCAGGCAATAGCCCAATAGCCTGACTAGATTTCTATGCTGAAGCCTGGCTACCAATACTACCTCATTCTTAAATTCTGCTGCACCTTGTCCAGAATATTTTGATAGCCTCTTCACAGCTATTTGTTGTCCATGAGGAAGTGTTCCCTGAGAATGCACTTTCATCAATGGCTGAGCAAGCAATTTTTCATAATTTCTTTAATCCTAATGCAACAAGGTCTTTTCTGTTCTTAAAAATTTAAACGCACCACGAATTGCTTACCTTGTAAACCTCACCAAATCCTCCTTCACCTAACTTGTTATCAGGGGAGAAATTGTTTGTGGCAGCTTCTATAGAACTCAAATCAAATTGCAATTGCAAGGACTCCACAGTTGAACTCTCATCTCCAACTACACAACACAGATAGATCTTCGATTGAGTTTTTGAGAATATTATATTCCAACATCGGCAGAGCACACGACAGAAAATACACTGTTTCGTTCCAATTAGAAAAGATTTCTAATGTTCTTTACCATCTTTTTCTGGCAAGGAAACTCTGTTTTTTCTTGCCCTTCTTCTCAGGAAACTGAACCCCATGCAGAAAAGCACCATAGAAACAGCAATGGCAATGGCAATGGCTACAATCACAATTATTGAAACATGGCCTTTTCCTAAATGAAAACAAAAATGCGTCGTCAATCATATGTATATTATATTTCTAGTCAAAAACAAAAATTATTATTATTATTATAAAAGAACAATTTTGAAAAGATAGTAGCATTATTACTATCATAAAGAGAGAGAAACAAATGCTCTTAGACACTGACTCCAAAGTTTTTTTTTTAAAAAAAGGAGTATATTCTTTTAACAATTATACTAACCTTTTAAAATTAATTAGTACAAACATACCTTTGATGTGTAAAACGTTATAATTCTATGAATTCTCCACCCTTTTTTCTAATATAAAAAAATAGGTGTAGTACCAGACAGGACATATAAATATCGCAAATCGATATAATTGTTTGAGTTTCTTTTATCATCTGAAAAAAAAAAACTATTTATGTTCACATTTAAAAAAAATCCAAAGAAAAATCTTAGGAAGGAAATAAATTTTATGTAAGAGATAGAAATGCGCAAACAAATACAATAAAAAAATTCCTTGAAATATTAAATTGAAATATTAATTATCCATTTATGACAGCATGTTTCATCAATAAATCCATTTCCTAATCCATCTTTGAATAATGTTAGGCTATCTGGTGATTTACAAGACCCAGAAGATTGCAACTAATTACTTTTTCATAACAGAAATAAGTAAAAAATTAAACAAAATGAATTTTCAGCAATATTTAATCTTTAATTTTTGTCTTCTTCATTATAAAATAATAAATTATTTTCTAGTGAGAATTAAAAAAATGTAATTTTTCTTAGAAATATGCCATAAATAAATAATTAGAAAAGGAATTGAATTTTATTTTTTTAATCGTTTTTTATGTTACAATAAAAAACCTAATATGTCTCTCTTTTTTACAAGTCAAAATTAGCAACAAAAAAATTTGCTTGATCATGAAGGAAGGACTAATATAATCAATTGTTTAAATTGAAACCAAATAAAGACTATGTTGGTCCAACTAATTAATTTGGACAAAGCAAAAAAAAACAGGAAAAAAAAAATCAAACCAACTTTACCTTTTGGTCTTGTCGATGGAGAGGGAGGAGGAGGTGGTGGCTTTGCCGCAACCGCCGTTATATTATAAAACTTAAAGGTTTCATACCGGACATTACAACTTGGATAGAGGACGCTTGCTCCTGGCTTTTGGCTACAGCAACTAGGCAAAATAGAAATAGCTATCCTAAGACATCGATTACAATCCGAGCTTGACAAGTCCGGTGTGCACTGCGCAAGGCTGTACAAGTTTAGAGACTCATTAAAATATACTGCTTTAACTGCAAACTTTTTACCTCCTGAAGTAGCAATTGCAGCCTGAGTCACAGTATCATTCATGGTGGTTGCCACTAGCCGGTTAAAGCGTTCAGGTTCGTCTGCGATATTCTGATCAGATTTAAACAGGAATTCTCCAGGGTCTTGGTCCATGGTAGCGAAAAAAGCCCTGTTTGAGTACCGCAAGAGGCACAAATCGTACCATAAAATGACCACCTTTTCAACTGGGCAACGTTGGATTGCCTCTTTGGCAGCCAAGTCGACACAATTCTGGCAAGCATTTTTGTTAACGTCGCCACGGCAAAGAAACAGGCCATAAACATCATCAGGGTCCAGCCCTATAGAGGAGTTGTAGAATCCATTAAGATTATTGCGGGTTGCATTGGGCACAAGTGAAGAAAGAAGGAGATTTAAATTGGCTTGGTAAGTGCTGTTTCTCGTGTAAGTAGTATCGTTACTGCATGAATTATAGAGAAAAGAAGGGTCCTGTGATTTAGTGATAGTAGCAAGGCTAAGCGAGGAGAGTAGGACTATGAAGAAATTGAGAGACTTCATTTTTAATTTTGTTTTGTTGATCAAGTTCTCTAGCAGCGAGCAGCTCTTATTTTTTCACCTATCCCAGCCAAAATATGAAGACTGAATCAAGTCAACGAAGAAATAATGCTGCATTCACTGTTTGCTTGTGCTTTTATGGGAGAAAAATATGAACGTGCTAATGGTCTTGATTAACTTTCAAAGCTACTCCATTATTGCGTAGAACTGACCTCTTAAACTTTCAAGGAGACACAAGTCTCCAACGTAATGCGTGGGTTGCAATGCTAGTGGACGGAGAGTCATTATCGATCACTGTTCTTTGCCGTGTTGCTCTCTGCTTTCCTGGTGTGAACATTTCTTCGAATTTTCTACAAAAATTTGTTAGGCGGGCTGTTTGTTTCTCCTGTGTTTTAAAAATATTTTTAAAAATATTTAAAAATATTTTATTTTTATTAACTTTAAATTAATATATTTTTAGTATTTTTAAATCATTTTGATGTACTGATGTTAAAAATATTTTTTTAAAAATAAAAATAATATCATTAATATGCATTTTGACATGAAAAATTATTTAAAAAATAACCACAACCACATTACCAAACAAGCTCTAAAAGATTTATATTTGCAATTATTTGTTAATTAGAGTTTTAAAATAATTCTAGTTTTATAATTATAGCACTTTATAATTTTTTTTATAAAGTATTTTTATTTTATAAACTTTATTTTTATTCTAAATTTATAATATTAAAAATAAATTAAATTTTTATTCATAATAAATATATATATTTATATAAATATAATAACATCATATAATCAATTGAATACCATACATACCAAACGTAACATCATGTCAAATGCCTAATTCAAGTTACAAATCAAGTACACTTGATGTGTTCAACTCGTACCTTATAAATATATTCATTGGGGAAAAAAATTGATCCACCACTGGTTAGTTCGAAAATTTAAATGTTAAAGATTGTTCAAAGGATTAGAGTAAGTCGCATGGACATTTGTTTGGTGTAAAGACTTTTGAACACATCTTAAATAAGATTCTCCAACCAAGTACAATAGTTTAAACCATATAATATTTAAGTTATAACAATTAATATTTATAAAATAGAAAAAGGATGCAGAACCAAGAGAGAGAATTAAAAAGTATTAGAAAATGTAGTGAACACGTGCATGTAAAATTTGTAATAATTAAATATATGATTCAAGAATTATTTAAATCTTACAAACTATATGTATGATAAATTAATTTATCCTTAAAACAGAGTTAATTTGAACTCATCTTGACGTGGCTATTTCAATTTTCACGCATGCTAATTATTGGAGGATGCTCCATTTCCGTGTAGAGTTTTCCCTTCGTAACCCGGTGTGCTCGTATAAATTTCATGGATAATAATAATAATAATAATAATAATAATAATAATAATAATAGCAGCAGCTTGGTCTAATAGCAAGGCGCTATTTCTTTTTTACTTCTTAAAGAAAAAACAAAATAAGTTGAAAAAAACATGAAATGGAGAAAAATTGATCAATTAAATATTTTTTGAAACTAAAGGGACTGTTTAATTCATTTTATAAAACTAAAGAGACTAATTTATAATTTACTCTCTGTTTCAGTACAGTGCTCCCTCTACAGAATTTAGGATGAAATGTAGTGTAATTTGAAAATAACTTATTTATGCATGAAATATTCCAACTCGTAGCAGGTTACACAGCAGAAAGTCTTACTTAGATTTTGTAGCTAAATTGAACCTTAGTGTTGAATGATTGACTAAGAGGACATTGGATTAATTCAGTAAAAATCACTAGAAATCTACAATCATAAAATGCTAGAGCAAGCTGTCTCCATTGAATTGTTTTGGCAAGAGAATATATCATAACGAAACAGCATTATTGTTTTGAAATACATCTCATTGAGGCTCATCAAAAATAAATTGTTTGATTTTTAAGACCTTACGGCATTCATAAATTTTGTTCTCCAATCCCCTGTATAAACTAACATGCATCCATGTTTGGGAGACTGTTTTCTTCGCATTAACGAGGATATAGTTCTGTGATAGACACATCATTCACGGACAAAGGCGTCGACTTGATATTAGACTGGTCAGACTCCAGCTCTGTTAATGGCAAGCTTGAGACGGTCATGCTTTGCTCAAAGCTTGACGGCTCTTGAGGCAATGGTAGCGATATCGAGAAACTAGTGAGCATGAGAACTACTTCTGTCAATGTGGGTCTATCGTTTGGGTCTTCTTGGACACACAGTAAGGCAATATGGAGGCATCTAGTGATCTCATTTCTGGAGTAAGAATCTCCTAAGCTTGGATCCACTAGTTCCAGTGCCGCCCCATTTTTCCATTGCTTCCATGCCTGAAACAATCAGCAGCTATGTTAGGTAACATTCTTCTTTTTCTCCCCTTTTAAGATGAGTAGTTGAGTTTGGCATAAATTAAAATAAATTTGTGCACGTAATTTTCTCTTACATAGTTCACAAGGTACAGCCCATTGTCTGATTGATAGAAACTGCTGTTCTTTTTGCCGCTGATAATCTCGAGTATCAAGACCCCAAAGCTATAAACGTCTGACTTAACAGAGTACTGTCCTTGCATTGCGTACTCCGGAGCCATGTAACCACTAGGGTGTCCAACAATCAGCATCGATCACAGAAAAATAACATCGACAATTAATGCTTTCAATAAATACTCTAAATAGCTAATTGCAAACTGATTTGGTTTTCGTACATCCAAATGATTTTATCCTCTTACATGGATTGTCCAAGCAAATCTGAAAGTAATGACTCCACATGTAATCACTTTCCTCGAGACTTTCTTCGCCTCTATCATTTGGCGCAACAAGGGATTTTTATGGATTAATATTCAGAAAAAAGAGAGTTAAGAAACCCAACAATTGATTATGTCGTATGTTTTTCATCATTATCATTATTTTTTTATTTTTAATTCAAAGATAAGAGGCATCCTCAGGCTCGGATCAACATGCAAAGTCCTTTTTTTAAGTAATTGTAAGGGTGCTCGTTTCACAATATCATTACGTAATTTGAAAAATTAAATAAATTCTCATCTTAAATTTAAATCTAGAAAGTAAAAAGAAAAAAAAAGAAATATAATAGGACAACTTGAAGATGTTTTTAAGAGTTTGTTAACCGTAGTTATTTGTTATAGCATCTTGTGTTTTCTTTTTGTATTGATAATGTTTTAACAACATGGATGAAGATGTGCTTCACTAAAGATGAGGGTTTAATAAACGATAGTGTAGACGAACAAAATATAGAATTTAGGCCTGAAAAGTACTTACAATGTTCCGGCGATTCGGCTTGTAATTCCTTGACTTTGATCAACTCCAAAAATCTTTGCCATGCCAAAATCTGCAATCTTGGGATTCATTTCCCCATCCAACAAAACATTGCTTGCTTTAAGATCACGGTGGATAATTCGGAGACGGGAATCTTCGTGAAGATAAAGGAGACCTCTAGCAAGCCCCCCCATGATTTTGTAACGACTTAACCAATCCAACAGTCCTTGTTTTGCAGGATCTTCATGTATTTATACAAAAAATTAAATAATCAGGATGGAGCTAAGAAAAAATAATAATCAGGATGCATCACACGCAAAATATATGTTAAGAAAAGCCAAACCAAATAGGAAGTAGTCGAGGCTTTTGTTGGGAACAAATTCATAGATTAGTAACTTCTCTTCTCCTTCCAGGCAATAGCCCAATAGCCTGACCAGATTTCTATGCTGAAGCTTGGCTACCAATACGATCTCATTCTTAAATTCTGCAGCACCATGTCCAGAATATTTTGATAGCCTCTTCACAGCTATGTGTTGTCCATTAGGAAATGTTCCCTGAGAATGCACTTTCACCAATGGTTGAGCAAACAATTTTTCATAATTTCTTAAATCCTAAAGCAACAAGCTTTTCGGTTCTTCAAAATGTAAATGCATTGCAAATTGCCTACCTTGAAAACCTCACCAAACCCTCCTTCGCCTAACTTGTTATCAGGGGAGAAATTGTTCGTGGCAGCTTCTATAGTACTCAAATCAAATTGCAAGGACTCCTCAGTTGAAATCTCATCTCCAACTACACAACACAGGTAGATCTTCGATTGAGTTTTTGAGAATATTATCGTGCAACATCGGCAGAGTACACAACAGAAAAGACACTGCTTTTTTCCAATTAAAGTAAAAAAAATAAAATTCTTAGGTTCTTTACCCTCCTTTTCTTTCACCGAATCTCTATTCTTTCTTCCCCTTCGTCTCAGGAAACAGAAACCCAGGCAGAAAAGCGCAGCAGAAACACTAACAGGAACGACAATGGCAATAATTACAACTGTTGAGACACGGACTTTTCCTGAATGCAAAGAAAAATGTTTCAATCATTAGTTATTTCTTTAAATATATTATACCTATTCCATTTATTTATTTACCACCATAAAAGATTTATTCATGTTAGGATTTTATTTATTTATGTTGACATTTAAAATAAAAAAAAACTACAGAAAAATGCTAGAAATGAAATAAATTTTATGGAAGAGATAATAATGCTCGAACATATACAATCAAAACTTTTCATGACAAATTAAATCAAAATATCTTTCATTCATCACCATCAATCATGTTTCATCAATAAATCTATTACCTAATTCTTTATTGAATAGTGTTACAATCTGTTCATTTATAAGAAGACTCAAATCATTGATAAAGTATTACCTAATTGGTTTTTCATAACTGAAATGTGTAAAAGATTTAACAAAAAGAATTTTAAGCAATTTTTTTTTGTCTTCTTACAAGAAAATAAATTATTTTTTTAATAAAAAAATGGATTTTTTTTAAATAAGCCATAAATAAATAAATAATCGGAAAAATTATTAAATTTAAAAAAGATTAACTGGCTTTTTTTTCAAATTCCCTTTCAATTGTTTCGGTAAAATTACAATAAAAATTCTAATACGTGTCCCTCTGTCTCGGTTTTTTCTTTTTACAAATCAAAATTAAGAAAAAAAAATGGATTGATCATGAATGGAAGAACTACTATAATCAATTGTCTAAATTGAAACCAAATAAAGACTCTGTTGTTTCAACTAATTAATCTGGACAACCAAGAAAAACAACTTTACCTTTTGATCCCGACACTGGAGAGAGAGGAGGAGCACGAATCTCGGGCGGAGGAGCACGAATCACGGGCGGAGGAGGTGGTGGTGACTCTGCCGCCACCGCTGTTGTATTATAAAACTCATAGGTTTCATACCGAATATTACAACTTGGATACAGCACTCTTGCTCCTGCCCTTTGGCTACAACAATTGGGCAAACTAGAAATAGCTATCCTAAGACATCGATTACAATCCGAGCTTGACAAGTCCGGTGTGCACTGAACAAGGCTGTACAAGTTTAGAAACTCATTAAAATATACTTCTTTAGCTGCAAACTTTTTAGCTCCTGAAGTAGTATTTGTAGCCCGAGTGGCTGTATCATTCATGGAGGTAGCCACTAGTCGGTTAAAACGTTCAGGTTCGTATGTGATATTCTGAGTGTTATACATGGTCACTCCTGGGTCTTGGTCCATGGTAGCGAAAAAAGCCCTGTTTGAGTACCGCAAGAGGCACAAATCGTACCATAAAATGACCACCTTTTCAACTGGGCAACGTTGGATTGCCTCTTTGGCAGCCAAGTCGACACAATTCTGGCAAGCATTTTTGTTAACGTCGCCACGGCAAAGAAACAGGCCATAAACATCATCAGGGTCCAGCCCTATAGAGGAGTTGTAGAATCCATTAAGATTATTGCGGGTTGCATTGGGCACAAGTGAAGAAAGAAGGAGATTTAAATTGGCTTGGTAAGTGCTGTTTCTCGTGTAAGTTGTCTTGGTACTGCATGAATGATAGAGATAAGAAGGGTCCTGTGATTTGGTGATAGTAGCAAGGCTAAGCAAGGAGAGTAGAGCTATGAAGAAATTGAGAGACTTCATTTTTGGTGATCAAGTTTTCTAGCTAGCAGCTCTTGTTTTTGCTACTAGCCCTGCGAATATATGAAGATTTAAGTCAATGAAGTAAATAATGCTTGCATTCACTGTAAAAATAGGTATGAGCTACAGGTCTCGATCAACTTTCAAAACTACTCCATTGTTGTGCAGAACTGACCCGTCAAAAATTCAATGAGAACATGGAAAAAAAAAAGGGGAAGAATCCTAATGAAATTAATTTGTGGAAATTTGTTAAGTGAAAACTGTTGTTTGATGGCAACAGAAGTGCTAAAGGAGACACAAGTCTTCAACGTAATGCGTGGGTTGCAATCCTAGTGGACGGAGAGTCATTATCAATCACTGTTCTTTGCCGCGTTGCTCTCTGCTTTCCTTGTGTGTGAACATTTCTTTGAATTTTCAACAAAATGTTTTTTCGACGGAAGGGATTTACATTTGCAATTATCTGTCAATTAGAGGTTTTAGATACTTCTAGTTTTTTTTTGTAGATAGCAGTCTATAGCATTATTAAGAAAATGGCTAAAAAAATAATAACCTGGCTTCCAGAAGTTCTAGCCACAAAGGAAAGAAAAAGAAAGCAAGAAAGCAGACAAGCTTTAAGGTTTTAAAACAGGGGAAGGAAAACATGGGGGCAAAAGAAAAGAAAGGACAATAGAAATCAGCTCCTCCCTTCTGCATAACCGTTGGCATCACAGCTGATATGAACATTCTCGCCATCGAGGTCCAAAGAATTGGAATCAAGCCTCAGCCATAATGAGAAACTTCGGAGGACCATGGAAGAACAGTTTTGAAGATTTGGGGTAGCGCCACTAAAGATGATATCATTCTGATGAAGCCGAAGATTCCATACAATGCAGGAGAAAAGAAGCTTCCATGAGAGATTTTATTGTTTGCCTTTCACCACGAAAAATCATTGGTAGCATGTATCATCATCAGATTTTGAAAAAACCCTACTAATACCCCATTTTCAAAGGAATTTCATCCATAGATTCCAAGCAAAGTGGCCATGGATGAAGAGGTGACTTGAAGATTTTAGGCTTTTATTGCAAAATACTTATCTTGATTCTTGAAGGGTACGGAAGTAAATCTTCACAAAATACTTATCTTGATTCTTGAAGGGTAAGGAAGTCAGGCTGAAACAAGAAATCTTCGATGAATACTTTGTCTTGTACAAGAAGCTAGAGAAATAATTGCATTTTTGGTGTAGCTTGTTTTGTCCAAACTGAAGACTAGAATGGTGAGGCACTACCATAGAGTAGTTAATCCATCATATTAGAACATGATTTTACTTTGAGAGGTCATCTATATTGAGTGTCTAAATTTTCTTGTCCAACCTAAAGCATAACATAGTCTTGGAATCCAATAAGGATGATAATAATGATAACTACTCTTGTTCAAATTGGAATAGAGGACAATGCCATTATAGAGACCACATCCATATACCATTGATTCATCTACCCATATCAGCCACCAAAATAGATTTTGAGGAAGACAGAAGATATAGCTTAGAAAAGGCTATTTTCAAAGGAAAATCTTCAATCTAGCTGTTTAGCTAAAAGGATGTTAACCTACTATTGCCCATAATGAACTTGTAGTGTTTTGTAAAGACATGATGATCGGTTTGAAGAATGTTCATAATATCCCTTTAGATTTTGAAGGGGTGGTGGATGTTGAAAATCTAAATCCCATTCTTAAAAAATGGATTGTCTAGAGTAGTAATGATGGTTTTCTATAAACCTGAACTTAGAGAGGTGACATGATCAAAAGATTGATATCTTCTCCCAAGTGTAAAAGTGTCAAAGTAATAAATAACTCGGCTAGACTGGGGTCAAACCACAAGGAGGTTAACTATATAAATTAATAATAATAATAATAATAATAATAATAACAATAACAATAACAACAACAATAATAATAATAGTAATAGCAACAACAACAATAAGTTAAAGAGGACATTGAGATGTAAGATTAATGTGAGAATTGAACAATAATAAAAACAAATGTCAAGGTTAGAGGATCCACTAATGGTATTTCAAACAAGTATAGTATAAACTCTTTTTATTACTCAATTGGAAACCACACACAAAGGAGGTTCCAATCAGATTATAAATTGTTAACATGATTACATTAGTTATCTTATTCGAATCATATTAATACCTGTAAATGTAGTCAGGTATTCATTATTATAATTTATATTAACAATAAATCAAGTTTCTTTCATAGCACAAGTATCGGTTATACTATATGGTTGGGCTATGAAAGTGCTAAGTATTTGTTGTATCAAGGGTTATACAACATAAATCTAGATTAACCATTTAACAAGCAAAGTATTAAAAGTGAACAAAATAATAAATACAAAACATGTTAGTATCAAGCATTCAGGTCCATGTTGAGTTTATACTAAACTTATTCTTACACCATTACTATAACCTTTTTACCTTGACATAATAAACTTAATTAAACATAATGAAGAAGAGAAACATAAATAAACAAGATAAGAACATAAATAAAATATAAGTTAACTAAGTAAAGGAAAGGAAATGAAAAGCATAAATAAGAGATTAATGAAAGCAAAAATCTAGCATTACAAAATATATATAAAAAAGGAGCAAGAATATGATTTTGATATGGAAACCAAGATGCCTAAATGCATGGCAAATGCCTCCTTTTAAAGGCTAAAATTTGAAACTATTGATTTGTTGACTAATTCTTATCTTCTTGTCTGAACAAAACATCATTATTAATATCAGAATTTGAACAAATTGTTCATGAAAGTTCTAAGAAATTGTCTCAGCTTTCCAACAAAAAAAAATCGATGCATTTGGACTCATAGAACTCGAGATATGGGTTGAACACTAAATAGTGTCTAGGCTGCAGGACAGATTCGGACTTCTCCGTTATTGCTACAATTTGAACTTGAAAATGGTCTTTTTGAATCTTAGACTCTTCATAAAAGTTTTAGGCCTATGTCTTAGCTTTCCATCCATATGGAGTGACCTAAATCCAAGTTCTATAGCTATAGTTATAATCCAATAACAGAATGGCGTTCTAGTTTGGATTGAACCAATATCTCTTTTCTAATCTTAGCCTTCTTTTTATCTTATCAATTCAGTAATTAAACTCATTAATCAATCCCTTGATTTATGTGATAGGCCTGTATTTAAGATGAATACTTACTATAAATTAAAGGCATCTTATATTATTAGATTTGTTATTATAAAGCATACTCTAGTTAAGAGTTATTGATACTTTAAATGCAAAATGATAATATAAAACCTTGATAAAAATATATTTTTAAGTATTAATCAATAGGAAAGTCTTCAAATCCATTTTAGTAGTAGGGCTCTATTTTTTGACATAAGAGAGCCTACACCGAAGCCTCCTTGTTTCTTATCGCGCATCACCAACCTCCATTGGATCTTGCAAAAAGATCTCTTCTTGGTATAGTGGCACCATAAAAATCATCATTGGATGGAGGAAAGTAATCTACATACCCCTTTTGACATCATGAATACTATATAAAATAGATAGGTAAGGAGTTGAGAACACTTTTGATGAGACATTGTCACCTAGCCATACTTAACAGCCTTCATTTCCTCTAATTAAACCTTTTACAAAATTTGTCTATAACTAGTTTCTAAGTGGAGATGCGAGATGGATTGGCCCCTAGTAGTGTGCCAAGATAATTGCATGGAAGAGAGCTAGACTTGCAGAAAATAGTCTTAGCCAAACTTAAACACAAATGATCTTCTACTTTGACACTAATAATAGAGCTTTTATGGAAATTAATGTAAAGGCTTGAACTCTGAGAAAATCATCTTAGAATTATTTTGACTTAAAGTAAATGGTCAATATCTATCCAGATGGATATTAACATGTCATCTGCATATTGCAAATGGCTGAGCAAAAGTCTTGAAACCCTCTGAAAATGTTTTCCATAGATGTCCTATAAAAAAGGACCAAGAGGCCTTCAACAGCTATGTCAAAAAAAAAATGGGATATTGATTAGTATTTAAAAGTGTATTTTTATCAAGGTTTTATATTATCATTTTGCACTTGAAATATCAATAACTCCTTAATTAAAGCATATTTTATAATAACATATCTAATAATATAAGATATCTTTGATTTATGATAAATATTCATCTTAAATGCAGGTCTATCACATAAATGAAAGAACTGATTGATGAGTTGAAATAGTGAAATTGAAAAGACAAAGAGAAGGCCAAACTTAGAAAAGAGATGCTAGTATAGTTCAAACCGGAATACTGTTTGGTAATTAGGTCATATCTAGAGTTGTAGATCTCGGATTTAGATCTATTTTATATGGATGGAAAGTTAAGACATAGGCTTACAACTTTCATGTGGAGTTCTGGTTTTAATAAGGTCATTTTCAAGTTCAAATTATAGCTGTCATAACCCAATTCTAGGTTATTCCCTAATTTTTTATCCGTGTTTTGATAAATTTTTAGAAAAATCCAAAAAAAGAGAAAAAACAACAATAGAAAAATCCAAAAAAAGAGAAAAAACAAAAAAAAATATATTTTTAAATATATTTGCTTTATTTTTCAGCATCATTTACATTTTTAAATATATTTGCCTTATTTTTCAGCATCATTTCAAAAAAATTAAATTTTCAAAGATATTTGAAACGCGTTCAACTTTTAGCGTATTATTTTTAAAATCATTGATTTTTCTCATTGAGCTGATGTTGATATTGCTTGTTTTTAAAAATATAAAAAAATTAAAAAAAATTAAAATTTACAAAAGGCTAAGGGATCAATTTTAAGACCAAAAAATACATTACCTATAAATTGCAGCTTTCAACACAGAAAAACAGAGGGCAATTTTGAAAAAATTAAAGGGGGGGAAGACCTAAACCTAAATTCCCTTCTTCCTCATCTGGAGCCGCCGCCCCCCTCTCCTTTCTTTTCACCAACCAAGAGCAAGGCTCTCGTTTCCCTCACCGGCCACACACCATTTTTCCTCTTTTCCCGACTCACAATTCTCCTTCTCC